CATGATCAGCTGAAAAGTGCGTGACAAAAAAGTTGTTTTTACGTGATTTTTTTTCTCAAAAAACAACTTATTTTATGTATTTGCATCTCGATTCTACGTTATTTCTTCACCTTTTTAGACATTTTAGCGCACTCTACTTAAAGCTTACGGTGCTGAACTTGTTCTAACGGACCCAGCTCTTGGAATGAAGGGTGCAATCGAACGAGCCAATCACTTGCATGAAAATATTCCAAATAGTTACATTCTCGCACAGGTTTGTTTTATTGCCGAATCTCTTTTTTACTAGACATGCTTAGCAACCCCGCAGTTTGTCAATTTCTAAAAATTTTTTAATTTCAGTTTGATAATCCATCCAATCCTCTTATCCACTATTCTACCACTGGGCCGGAAATCTGGAAACAGACCAATGGCAAGGTGGCTTTTATCTCAAAGCAACTATATACAGCATCATTATAAGTACCTAGGTGGATGTGTGCGTCTTTGGCATTGGTACAGGAGGAACCATTACTGGAGTGGGGCAGTACCTGAAGGAGCAAAAACCCGAAGTGAAGGTACAACTTTTTGTCAATATCCGTCTTCTTTTTAGTCAATCTCGCTATTCATAAATCTTTCTGCCATTTCAAAGATGATCGCTGTGGAGCCTATCGAAAGCGCTGTTCTTAGTGGAAAGAAAGCTGGTCCCCATCGCATCCAAGGTAGCATCTTTCTTCCCTTTCCTTTTCTTTTGTTTACTTGTTGAGTTCTAAGGAAGTTTGCGACCTCTGTCTTTGAAAATCACGAAAAATGCTTAATGTTCATCTTACTTTAGTATATTTGATAACAAAAACTCTACGATAAAATTAGCTGCTATCTTACCTGATAAGCTAGATTAGCGCGCATAGAGCAGAAGTTCCCTTTTGTTCACGCTGGTCATTCCGTTTTCCCTAGGTATCGGTGCTGGTTTCACTCCTACTGTCTTAAACACGGCAATCTACGATGACATTGTCACAGTGCATTCCGATGAAGCCATGGTTATGGCCAAAAGGATGGCCCTCGAAGAGGGTCTTCTCTGCGGTAAGCTTTTGTAGCATTCTGATTTCGTCATTCTCAAGCTATAATTTGATATCAGTTCATATCTGGCTGTATGCTTTCTTTCTGTTTTTTTTTTTGGAGATCAAAAGCCGCGAATTTCCCTCTAGTTTGATCTGGGCAAAGCAGATA